TAACTTTTATATCTGAATGATCTGTCTTAAAAGCTAAATATGAATTAGTAACTCTTGTAAGACTAGGTAGGATTTTATAAATGATGGCAGTTTATCCTTGTTAAGATTTTAGGCCTTAAAAAATACTTGAGTCAGACGTTTTCATCAGACAGTTGGCTCCCCAATAATGACACAGAGACTTATTGTTAATTGTAAAATGTTGGCCAATAGCTTAGGCTTGTTTCTGACCAGCTCCTACTACTTAAATCAACCCATTTCTAATAATTTACTGCTGCTGTGTGGCTCATGAGTGTCACCTCATCTCCTACGTGTCATGTATCCTCCAAGTCAACCTGGCTTCTTTGCCTTCTTCCCAGCATTCTCTCTTTCCCAAAAGTTCTGCCTAGCTATTGACCATTTAGCTTGTTATTAAATCAATAATAGTGACACATCTTCACACAGTGTAAAGGAATATCCACAACAGGTTAGCATTTTTGAGTTGAAGCTCCTTTAGTACCAAATAAACATTAAACCATAAATACAGTTCAAAATAACTAGGAGCAACTTTTCTTGATCTTTTTTTAGTGTACTTTTACAAGATCTAAGTTAATTTAATCACTGTTTTATTTTAGCTTGTTTTATCATAAAGTGTATAATTACAGGAGAGACTACAAGATTGGTTTTCACAAAATAATCAAAAGGTATTTTTTCACATGGGTAAAACAACAAAGTTAGCAAAGACATAGTGATTAGCTTGATTTGACATACATTTTAAAATCAGCTTTTGCTGCCATGTGTAGATCATTCTAACATATATCATCCATGAGTCCCATCTGCCATAACCCTTAGGAAATTTGCTCAAACCTTCTGCTCCTTGGCTTTAAGCTTTCTTGGCTTTGTCTCATCTGTCAGTTTTCTTTTTGGACAAAATAGTTTTATCATACAAAATCCATCCTTATCCCAAATGCTCTTTTAGAATGTCCCCTTAACCAGAAATATTCCCTCAAGACAGTTGAGGTGGCACATGACTGTAATCCCAGCACTTGGGAAGCAGAGGCAGATGGATCTTTTGGAGTTTGAGGTCAGCCTGATCTACAACGTGATTCCAAGTTAGTCAGAGTGACATAATAGAGAGACCTTGTCTCACATAAATAAATGAATAAATAAATAAAGCAGCAAGGTGTGGTGGTGTATACCTCTAATCCCAGCACTTGGGAGGTAGAGGCAGAGGCAGACCTCTGTGGGTTAGAGACAAGCCTGGTCTACAAAGTGAGTTCCAGGACAGCTAGGAGTGTTACACATAATAACTCTCTCTCAGAAAAACAAACTGTGTGTGCCTGTGTGTTTGTTTGTGTGTACATATATATGATTCTTTCTCTCATACTTTCTTTTTGTTTCTTTTTATTTTGCTAATTAACATTTTTTGGTTTCAGTTCTAAATTCTCTGCTTGAAATTTTACAGCTTTTCAACCTCCTCTCCCACTTAGGGTCTTATAAATCCTGGGAGGCAGAATGCTTTCACTTTAGCAACGGCTTAAGGGATAATGATGACCTTGAATGGGGCGACATTTTTGTAAGCAAGAACCAAAAGTAACGGAGTACTCAGAGAGCTAAACCTCTTAAGGACTTCATAGAGTCTATCCATTTCTTGGATTTATCATTTATACGTGATTCCAAGCATTTAATATTCTCATCCTTAGATATTATCTGAATGGCATGTAAGTTACCTTCTAGAAACAGTGTTCTATCTGATAACAGGTCATTATCCTCAGACATGGAATGAATTGTTTCAGTAAGTTTAACAATCTGGTTTTCCAGCTTTCGAGTTTTATTAGTTGAGTCATCAGACATGGAACAAGTTGTTTCTGCCAGCATGATAATATCCTGCTGAATTGATTCCATTTTGGCCATAAGGGCAGTGGGCATGGAATCAATTCTGCCTTGTAAGTTGTTATGTTTGAGTTCCAAGGTATTTACTTTGTTAGACATTTCCCCATTGACCTGAAGACTTTGAATTTTTGTCTTTAATTTACCAATAGTTTGTAAAGCTTCCCTGCCCTATGATTAAGCCCTCTCTTCTAGGATATCATGTGGATTATGAATCTAATCATTAGCATTAGAGAAAAGAGATGGAATCCAGTTCGGCCGAAGAAAACCGCACCGAGCAGGAGAACGGGACTTAGGAGGGCCTCTGGGGGTACTCAGATGCACAGGGTTGTAGGCCACACATGTAGGCTGGCACCCGGCCAGGGAGGGAGGCAGCGGATCCGGAGGCTTGGTAAATTTACTTGCTGATACCGGATAATGTGGAAATAATAAATTACACAAAATAGGGGTGTCCTATGATATTTTGTTGAGGAAGCAATCACTTACGTGAGAAACCAAGAAAGCCGAGAACCAAAGTGTAAAGAGAAGCCTTTTCCTTGAGAGAAGTCTTCCCGCCAGCCTGGTTCTAGAGCCGCATCAGTCCCAAATAAACACACAGGAGGCTATATTAATTATGAAGCTGTTGGCCTTGCTTGTCTCTTACTGGCTAACTCTGGCTTAAGTAATTACCCCATAATTGTTAATCCAAGTATGTCTCTTACCGGAGAAGTTTCCGGGCTTCCTACCCCATGGTGTTACATCTCGACTCTCTGTGTTTCTCCTACCCAGAGTCCTTCTAGACTCCTAGTCCCACCTATCTTGGTTTCCTATTGGCTCAACAGTGCTTTATTGACATAATCACAGGACCTCCCACATCACCAAAGGTGCGCACACTGTTCTCCAGGCCAAACCCTGACCACAAAGAGAGAGAGCCTCATCCTCCTAGCAGCATTTTGTAATAGCCAGAACTTGGAAGCAACCTAGATGCCCCTCAACTGAAGAATGGATAGAGAAAATGTGGTACATTTACACAATGGAGTACTATTCAGCAGAAAATACTGTTTATAAGCTATTTGGCTGATTGCTCAGGCCCTTAGTGGCTACCTCTCTCTTAATTATTAACCCATTTGTATTAAACTATGTATTATGCTGCTATGAACATAGTGGAGCAGATGTCCTTGTTGTGTGAATGGGCATCTTTTGGATATATGCCTAAGAGTGGAGTTGCCTGGTCTTGTGATAGGTTTATTCCCATTTTTCTGAGGAATCTCCACACTAATTTCCAAAGTGGCTGAACAAGTTGGCACTCCCACCAGCAATGGAGGAGTGTTCCCCTTTTACCACATTCTCTCCAGTATAAATTGTCAATGGTGTTTTTGATTTTAGCCATTCTGACAGAACTGCTATGGTATCTAAGAGTTGTCTTCTTTGCATTTCCGGTATGGGTAAGGATGTTGAGCACTTTCTCAAGTGCCTCTCAGCCATTTTAGACTCCTCTATTGAAAATTCTCTATTTAGTTCTGCAGCCTACTTTTTAATTGGATCCTTTGGTGATTTGGAGACTTGCTTCTTGAGTTCTTTGTAAATTTTGGAGATCAACCCTCTGTCAGATGTGGGGTTAGTGAATATTTTTTCCCAATTCTGTGGGTTGCCTTTTTGTCTTGCTGACTGTGTCCTTTGCCTTGCAGAAGCTTCTCAGTTTCAGGAGGTCCCAACTATTAATTGTGGATCTCACTGTCTGTGCTACCGGTGTTATGTTCAGGAAGCTGTCTCCTGTACCAATTCCTTCAAGGGTACCACCCACTTTCTCTTCTAAGAGGTTCAGTGTGGCTGGATTTATATTGAGGTCTTAGATCCATTTGGATTTAAGTTTTTGCGTGGCGATAGACATGGATCGATCCGCAGTCTTGACATGCCAGCCTCCAGTTATGCCAGCATCATTTGTTGAAGATGCTTTCATTATTCCATTGTATACTTTTAGCTTCTTTGTCAAAGATCAGATGTTCATACATGTGTGAGTTAATATCAGGGTTTTCTATTCGATTCCATTTGTCTACCTGTCTATTTTTGTGACAACGCCAAGTTGTTTTCAGTATAGCTCTATAATAGAGCTTGAAGTCAGGGATGGTGATGCCTATGGACGTTGCCTTGTTGAACAGGGTTGTTTTAGCTTATCTGGGTCTGTTTTTTTTTCCATACAAAATTGATTATTGTTCTTTCAAGTTCTGTGAAGAACTGTGCTGGTGCTGGTATTTTAATTGGGATTGGATTGAATCTGTAGATTGCTTTTGGCAGTATTGCCATTTTTACTACATTGATGCTGCCTATCCGAGAGCATGGGAGATCTTTCAATATTCTGAGGGCTTCATTAATTTCTTTCTTTAAAGACTCAAAGTTCTTGATATATAGGTCTTTCACTTGTTTGGTTAGTGTTACCCAAGGTATTTTATGTTGTTTGTGGCAATTGTAAAGGGTGATGCTTCTCTGATTTCTTTTTCAGCCCTTTTGTCATCTGTATATAGTAAGGCTACTGATTTTCTTGAGTTGATCTTGTACCTACCACTTTGCTTAAGGTGTTACTCAGCTGTAAGAGTTCCCTGGTAGAATTCTTTGGGTCATTTATGTAAACTATCATATCATCTGCAAATAGTGAAAGTTTGACCTTTTTCTTTCCAATTTGTATCCCATGCCCTTGCTCTCCTTTTGTTGTCAAATGGCTCTAGCTAGAACTTCAATTACAATATTGAAAACCTATGGAGAGAGTGGACAGCCTTGTCTTGTTCCTGATTTTAGTGGAATTGTGTTGAGTTTCTGTCTATTTAGTTTGATGCTAGCTGTTGGTTTGCTGTATATAGCTTTCATTATGTTTAGGTATGTTCCTGTTATCCCAGATCTCTCCAGGACTTCATCATGAAGGGGTGAATGATTGTTTCGAATTGTTTTTGGATCCGATTTGCCAGTATTTTATTGAGTATTTTTGCATCAATGTTCATGAGGGATATTGGTCTGAAGTTCTCTTTCTTAGTTGTGTCTTTGTGTGGCTTGGGGATGAAGGTTATTGAAGCCTCATAGAAAGAGTTTGGCAAAGACCCTTCTGCTTCTATTGCGTGGAATACTTTGAGAAGTGACCGGCTGTTTATTTTGTGTCTTCCCAGGAAAAGTCACAAACAGCATGAGAAAACGAACCTGCATAACCTGACCCTGAAATGCGTCAGAATCTGTCCACAGTCTGGAGAAGGTGTCAGCACCCTGCTGATCACATCCGTTAGTGGAGATGTGTTAGTCTGTGTCTTAGTTAGGGATACTATTGCTGTGAAGAGACACCATGACCATAGTAACTCTCATAAACAAAGACATTTATTGGGGAGGACTTATAGTTTCAGAAATTTAGTCCATTATCATCAGGGTGGGGCATGATGCTGAACAGAAAGACATGTAGCCAGGGCTGAGCATCCTGCATCTTGATTGGCAGGCAGCAGAAAGTGACTGAGTGTCCTGCATCTTGATTGGCAGGCGTCACGACATGAACTGAGACACTGGCTGTGGCTGGAGCATATGTGAGACATCAAAGCCCACCCCACAGTGACACACTAACTCCAACAAGGCCATACGTTCTCCAACAGTGCCACAACTACTGATAGTGCCACTCACTATGCGCTTATGGGGGTCAATTACATTCAAACTGCCACAGTATATAACCTCTACTCACTCCAAATCCGTTTAGTAAGCCGTTGGTATGATGTTTTAGCAGCTTGTGTGTTTTTTTTTTTTTTGCAGTTCCCTCATTTTTGCTTTTAATTCTCCTAACACAGTAGCCATGTGTTAAAGTATTAATTCTTCTCATAAGTTAGACAGAGTGATGGAGCATAGAAAAACTGAGACAAAAATTTTGGGTCTGAAGTAGGCAGGCCAAATCCCATCTCAGAGCTGAAACAACACATGACAATATGTTTTTTTAATATTATCCATACCCAAAGAGCATTTGAACCAGAGATCTAAGGAACTCAGTGGTGGCATCTGTGCCTTTACAACTAACAAAGGCAGACCACAGGCATAAGGCAAGGAAACCCAAGAACACAAAGAATGTTGCATCTCAGAGGAAGCAGACTTGGGTACTTACTGCCATTGCAGGCTCCTGTGTAATCTTCTCAAAGACATTTAGCTATCTGAACTGCGCCCGTTGGTATTCTCTGTTAGCATTGTCAAAGGCTGAAGTTTCTAATAACATCCATTTAAGATCAGACTCAGAAATAGTCTCTTCATGCCACCAAGCCGTGAAATGAAGGAATTCAGCAGGATCAAACAAGCCCAGGCCAGCTTGCCCCAGTCATGGGGGAGAGTTGCTCTGTTTCAGCTATCCCTCTCAACAATCCCATCAAACATGGAGATGCAGGTCTGCAAGAGGGTATACTTTGTGTTAAATCCTTAAGTATCATATAGGGAATAGGCCCCTATTCTGCTCATATTCCCCTCTTAGGAAAATTATCATCAACTCTGAGTCTAACGAATTAGAAATGTGTTGACACTTGAAAGAGGCACAGATAGGTACACCCCAGAATCCTGTTACTTTTGAGCTGAGTCCCAGGGCTGTTGCAGAAACACCAGCTGCAGGGATGCAGAGGAATGAATGGGTAACAGAGAACTTTTCATCTTCTGAATCATCAAGGGAGGCAGATCACCGAGATCCAGTGATGGAGATGACTTCTGTACATATGTTTCTTTTATTGTTTGATGAATCAAACACTGTAGCCAATAGGGCAGCAAGATAAGCGGGTCTAGGAGATGAGGAAGATTCTGGGAAGTGGAGGCAGAGAGAAGTTGTCCTGTGATCCCGGGAAGAGAGGACACGAGTGAGGCATTCTCCAGTAAGATAAGACCATGTAGAAATATAGATTAGTAGTTATGGGTTAATAATTAAGACAGAGCTAGCCAATAAGAAGCCCAAGTTAATGGTCAACAGTTTCATAATTGATATAGTGTCCGTGTGTTCATTTGGGGCTGACACGGCTGTGGGATCAACCTGGCAGAAAGAACATCCATAACAATCCAGGGAACCAAAGGAGGAAGGTGCAAATCCTTTGCATTGTCTCGTTCCTTCTGAAAGAGCTGCCTGTCTGCTGCTGTCTCCTCCTCCAATAGGACAGAGTCATTTGCAATGGCTGAATTCTAAGGTGAGGGAAGTATGTGAGCAGACACATCATGGGATTACCTCTGCCTGCAGAGGAGCCTGTCTAAAAGAACATGGACATCTTCCCATTGCTTCCTGGGCAATGTTCCTGTGCTGACAGAAGTAACAGTATTGTATGTATGCTCTGACAGGTCATAGAAACTTTGTTTTTTCTATTTTAAAATTATTAAGAATTTGAGAAAAAAAGATCTAAAGTTATAAGTATAATACAACCTACTTATGGAAGGCTAAAGTTTCAGAACTTAAATTCAAATTATGTACAACTGCATCACAAATCTAGAACCTGAGTATGCCTTGAAAAATGCCCATGAGTCAAAATAAGCATTTCTCATAAAACGTCATTGAACACTTATTTCATATCTGGTCATTGAGTGTTTAATTAATTTATAGCAGTGACAGAGGAGTTAGCTCAGTTCACAGAGACTGACCTAGCATGCAAGAGGTCTTTGGTCTGATCCCCATGGCTACAAACACCCAGCAGGGGGCGTTGGGCTTATTCATCTAACCAGCAGTTCAGAGGTTGAAGCAGGAGCACACAGAGATGTTGCTCTAACCTCTCATCAGCCTCCCTGGAAACTATGGCTCCAAACAAAACTAAAGTTATGTGTTTGCTCTTCTAGCTTGTTGTATGTTTGTTTCTTTTGGTTATGTTCTCTTGAGATAGGGTCTCTCTACATAGCTCCTGGAATTCACTATGTGGACCAGACTGGCCTCAAACTCTTTGCCTCCCCAGTGCTGGCAATAAAGGTGTGCGCCACCATGCCTGTCTCTTCTAGCTTTATTCGTTTGTCCTTCAATTTCTTTTTAATTTATATATTTTATGCATATTAGTATCTGTCTGCAAGGAGATCTGAACAGCCTGGTAAGAAGATTGTGATGATGAACATTTTGTTTAGAGGATAATTTACTGTGCCAGGCTTGTAAACAAAAAGATGCTTTTAGCTTGTAAAAGCCATGAGGAGGTTATTCCTTGAACTTACCCTGTCAACTAGCCTGAGATGGACAACTGCCTGGTGTAATTGGGCTGTTCTTCAAAACTGCTAGTCATTGCAAAATATTTCACAGTCTCAGCTATTCTTAAAAGGTTATTATGGTCATAAGATTAAACAGTCTAACTCCAAGTTCCACCTTTGTATTAAAAGTTTGCTTTAATGGGTGAGACTCTGGTTGCTTATCTGTTACAAAATCAAACCTTGCCCACGCCGAAATAGAATGAGTTAATTCCGCTCCCCAAAATCATAGCTTTGTGGCTTTTACATTTATAAGTCTTGGACTAATAATAGCCAGGACCTTACCTTACTTTCTCGGTGTCCATCCTGCCAGTCTTTTTAAATAAAAGCCTCTAATTTACTAAAACTATAACGACTCAGACTGCTGAATCTCAGTACGGCCATAGACCAACAATCAGAGCAAGTTGGATTCCCGAGGACTGCCTTGTCAGTGCTGAGAACTAAATCCAAGTCGTCTAGAAGAGCAGTGGTCTTTTTTTTTATCATCACTTTTTTTATTTTAATTTTAAATAGCTTGTTTTACATGTCAATCCCAGTTCCCTCTCCCTCCCCTCTTCCCGCACTCCCCTCCCCCTCCCTCCCACCCTATCCCCACTTCCTTCCACATAGGGGATATCTAGAGGTTGTCATTTTACTCTTGGTAGGGTCAAGGCACTCCCCTAAGAGTCCAGGCTGAGAGAGCATCTCTCTTTGTGCTATAGGCACATGAAGACAGTTTGTATACCAGGGATAGACACTGATCCACAGCTCAGGGCCCCATAGGTTACCCAGGCCTTCTCACTGACACTCACATTTGGGAGGTCCAGATCAGTCCCATGCTGGCCTCCCCATTGTCGGTCTGGGGTCCAAGAACACTCCCCTGTTCAAATCAGCTGTCTCTGCTGGTTTTGCCAGCCCATTCTTTGCCAATTTGCTCATCACTCCTCTCTCTCTGTCACTGGGTTCCTTGGGTTCAGTTCAGTGATTAGTTGTGTGTTTGCCTCTGCTTCCATCAGTCACAGGATGAAGGCTCCCGGATGGTTATAGACATCAAGTTCATTATCAGGAATGGGCATTTGAGGTGGTCTCTCCACTATTGCTTAGCTTGCCAATAGAGCAGTGGTCTTAACCACTGAGCATCTCCACAGCCCGTGTCCTTAAGTTTCACCAGCAAATAATGATAGGTTTGTCATATCTGTGCTCTGCATCCATGAACTGTGAGTCACAGCCCACAAATCCAGTTTCTGAAAGCTGATGAAATTGTCCTGGAGGGAGGTGGCCAGAGTCTGTCTGTAAACCCATTAATCCCTATTATCTCCAATATACTGAATACCAGGCTTTGTGCCCTAGAGACGTAGGATCTAAAGCTCAGGGATCTTCAACTGAATGTTTCTAGTCACAGGCAGGACACCCTAAGCCTCATATAAGAAGTGAATATTGCCCACTTACTGGTTTTCTGGTGTCTGAGAGTGAGACTTCACTCTTCATTGCAAATGAGACAGATTAAACCCAGCCCACCCACAAGTTCCTCAGCTTTGTATATGGGCCAATAAATATCTTCTACTAGTGCACTGGCTGTTTTCCTGTCAGCTTGCTACAACCAGAGTCATCAGAAAGGCATCTCTCTGTCTCTCTTTTTTTTTTTTTTGGATTTTTACAAGACAGGGTTTCTCTGTTTTGGAGGCTGTCAGTCCAGCCTGGCCTCGAACTCACAGAGATCAGCCTGCCTCTGCCTCCCGAGTGCTGGGATAAAAGGCGTGCACCACCAACGCCCGGCCAGAAAGGCATCTCTCTTGAGGAGATACCTGGATGAGAACCAGCTATAAGACAGCATCTCAATGAGTGATCAATGGGGAAGGGCCCAGCCCATGGTGGGTGGGTATTTCCTTCCCTAGGCTGCTGGACCTGGAATCTATAAAGAAAGTAGGGTGATCATGCCAGGAAGCAGTCCCCTTCCATAGCCTCTACTCAGTTCCTGTCCCAGGACCCTACCCTATTGTGAATTCCTGTCCCAACTTCAGTGGGAACAACAATGTGGAAGTATGAACTGAATAAACTGTTTCCTTCCCAACTTGATTTATAGCCATGGTGTTTTGTTGCAGCAATGGAAATGCTAACAAGGACATTCAGTCTGTGTTGGAAACTATAAAATGCCTATTAATACTCAAAGGAATGAAAGAATTTGCATACATGTGATATGCAGTATGTGTTTCCAAATTTGTACTACCTTGAGCAATGATAATATGTCATTGTTTTTCATGTAGTTGATATACTCCGTGGCACCTGTTCCCATGTTTTAGATCACTTCTAAAAGCTTAGTGTTGACATGGTGTACCTAGTACATCAGCAGAAGGGGGTAACCAGCAGGAACAAAGCAGGAGGCCCAGGTTGGGCAGTGGTGACAGAGAATGAAGTCATAGTACAGTAATTCACTTGGCTGGCAAAGTGGGTTAGCTAGTGACGGCGTTTTCTGTCTGAGGGGGCAAGCCTGACGATGTGCATTAAATCCACAGAGCCCAAACACAGGTAAAAGCAAAAGTCATTTCTAAAAGCTTCCTTTCAACCTCCACCTCAGACCATGGCATGAAGACCTCCACACACATCTTTTACAGTAATATAGAAATGGTGGTGTGGCAGATCTAGTGGTCACACGAATTTAGAACATTGGTAATCATCCCAATTATTTATACTCATTCTATAAAGGTAAGATTTAATGTGTCTCTCTTTAACTTTGTTTATTTCCTTATTTGGCTGGCACACTTCGGTAGGCCTTAGTACATCACTCAGTCCTTATCAGGGAAACTCCTTGCAGTAGATGGGATTTAACACGAAACCCACAAGGGGACAATGTGCAGAGAGTGGGAGATTTGCAGCACTCAGCCTGAAACAGGATATATTTATTAAACCCTTCTCCTCAAGACTCAGGTTTTATAGGGAAGAAGAGAGAGAAAGCTGTAAGAGCCAGAAGTAACAATGACTGAAGGAAACAATCTTTCAGACACAAGAGGACTGAGGCACTATGAACTCACAGAGACTTTGACAGCAGGCACAAGACCTACACAAGTTCAAACCAGACACAAATCCCAGCACAGACAAAGGGATTTGGCACAATGTCCCATCCTAACCAAAACCTCTCTACAATGGATAGATACCCTCCTCTGTGTCTGTCTCTGTCTGTGTGTGTGTCTGTCTGTCTGTTTGTCTGTGTTTGTCTCTGGAACCAGAGGCTCCTCTGTCCCACCTGGCCCCACCACCATTTCTGCATAATCACTCAGAGACTTAATATTAGTTAGAAATGTTTGACCAATTGCTCAGGCTTATTACTAGCTATCTCTTACATTTAAATTAACCTATTTCTGTTAACCTGTGTATTGCCTCGAGGTCCGTAGTTTACTGGTAGTGCTCTGTCATGTTGCTCTTTGGGCAGCTGATGGAGTCTCTCTGACTCTGCCCTTCTCCTTTATCTCTGCTTGTCTTTCCCACCTGGTTCTATCCTGTCTTGCCATAAATCATCTTTAGTCATCAACCAGTGAGAGCAACACATATTCACAGCATACAGAAGACATCCCATATCATTTCCCCTTTCTGGATAATGAAAAAGGAATGTTTTACTTTTAATAGAGTAAAATTACATATAATAGTTATCAAGCA